AAAATGTCCTGTTGGCCAATATTGCTCATCCATAGGGCTTTCAGCGGCTTCAGGCAACTGTGCAAAAGGATTCTTTTGCGAAGAAGGTTAGGGATCTTTTAAGCTAGAACTACTTCTGCCTTTCGGTGTTTGGCTGAGGAGCTTACAGTAGACGAATGTAACCATTCGCCCACTGCGACATTCCGCCTAACTGAAGAGAGCGCGGGCTCGATGCCATGCATGCAGGCTCACGCGAACCTTCGAAGGCAGCGAATGCATGCCCTCCCGGGCATTACTGTCCAGAAGGCGCAACTTCAAAACATCAGTGCCCCGTTGGGACATACTTGGCTGCATCGTACGCCACACTGATTCTAGCCTAGCTTACCATGCCCTCTGCCTTATTTAGAGAAAAACGGGTACTAAAAATTATGTTCTAGGAGTCGGAGGGCACATATTCTGGTTAGAGGCAGTAAACCATCCTTGTCTACAGGGGCGCGTGGGACGCGAGTCAGTGTCAAGATTGCCCTCCTGGCCAGTTCTGCGCACTCCCTGGCCTCTCAGCCCCGTCTGGGCACTGCAGTGCTGGTCAGTAACATCAACAGATTTTGAACAGTAACGGATGGCCCGAGTGCCTGCACTTCACTTCATTTACGCTCTAATGAGACCATGTTTTCAACTTCTATGTTTGGTGCTTTGACAGGTTTTTACTGCGACAAAGGAAGCTCAACGCCTGTTGATGTCCAAAAGATTTGCCCCAAAGGGAAGTACTGCCCCGAAGGAACTGCCGAACCCCTTCCTTGCAGTGGTGGCACATACCAGCCGCAGGAAGGTGCAACATCGTGCATCGTATGCCCACAAGGTAGGCCAAAGGCTGTGGACGCGTTTCAAAGTTATCCGCAGACACTGCACAAGTGCCGTATTTTTAAGATTGTTTTCCTTTTCTCCTAAACAGGTTCATTCTGCGCGGTTGGGTCGACTCAACCTCAACCCTGTCCAATCGGGTTCTATTGTCCCTCTGGCACTCAACATGAGTACCAGTACCCTTGCCCACAAGGGACCTTCGGTACAGTGCAGGGTGCAACATCTGTAGAGAGCTGCCAGCTTTGCGAAGGAGGCCAAATGTGCAACACTCCTGGGACGGGAACGCAAGGAGGCAACGCCATGACGAACTGCCCAGCAGGTCAGCAGTCTGCTGCTGGGTTTCCTTGCTTTGTCGGCACAGAAACTTTTAGCGTCGCCGTGCTGCGGCCTTGGCTCATATGTTTTGGCAGACAGAACCGGGAGACAAATGATTGACCATCGGTATTTTGATGCTGTATTTGCCTATAGGATACTACTGCCCTGAAGGAGCAGGTGCTGTTACCCCTACAGCGTGCAGTTACGGCGAATACTGTCCTGAGAAGTCCACAGCCCCTACGCCTTGCCCAACAGGCTACTACTGCGCAAACGAGGCACTTGAGTGGCCGACTGGCAGATGCCGTGGAGGGTATGTATGCAAGTTGAGGGCGGCAACGCACAGTCCCGAGACTGCAACTTCTGGGACCGCTTGCACGGAAAATTCCCAAGGATATCCGTGCCCTGCTGGATATTACTGCCAAAGTGGTAGGGGGCTCTGGTTTTGGAGGCTCGCGTTCTCCATGCAGAGCTGCTCGTCTCCTTCAACGCTCAGTCGATGCACACCACTGCAAGCAAGGGCTGTTCCAGCGTCTTATTGATGTGCAAATTTTGGTGCGGGGGGGTGGCTTAGAGAATGTGCCTGCCTTTCAAACTGTGTATCAGGTCCCCTAGTTGACACGTTTGCGGGGTCTGGCCAACAAGGGACTGGTGGTGATGGAGGTCCAGCGAAAGAAGCAGCGTTTACCAGTCTAAAAGGAATAGCAGTGAACCTCGCAAGAGGAGAACTCGTCATAGCAGACGCTGATATGGGACGCATCAGCATCATTCATCTAAGCACAGGTATTCTCGCCATCGGTGCTGTCTCGGAGACAACACACAGCTGAGGGATATACAGTGGCCTCTAATGTTTGGCTCCCTCACCACACTGGTTTGATTCCGCGAAGAAGCTGTTGCCGTGTGGCCACGAACATCATCCCTCATCGGCAGTGGCACGAAATTCTGCCCAAATACACATGCACTGGATGCCTATAAAATAAACATTTCCAAACACCATAACGACAAAGTGGGCTCCGCTTTGTGTTTTGTTTAGGCATTCTTACTGACGTCGCCATAGGGCTGGACAAGCCAGAAGGGTTAGCAGTATCTAATGATGGGAATACACTTTATGTATCGCTTTCCGGTAAGTGTATCCACATGGATTTGCAAATGGTACAGTCCTAGGGGAGCTGGTTGTGTAACGGGGCCAGCGCATTCAATCTGCTTCGCGTGCATCATGGTGGGCTGGTGGTGGCTTGTATTTCGGCAGCTACTTGTCCAATCATTTTTCACGTTTTATGCACTACAGATGCTGGGAGGGTTGTAGCCATCGATTTGAACGACAACAGTCAAACTGATATCGCAAGCAGCTTGTCCACCCCATCTGGGCTGTGCCTTTCGCTCGATGGAGAGACGCTTTATGTTGCCGAAGCAAGTGCTGGCCAAATATCAGCCATTGACATTGACAAAAAGACGAAGACGTCTGCTGTGGGAACCGGAGGCACAGGTACGTCCTTTGCATACGTGCGGCGAGACCAAATTGCCACGTAGCGGCAGTCCGTACTGTCTGGTTGCGCATCGGCTACATTTTTTTGTTTCAGCAGGCATTCTATTCCAGCGCTTCGCATTAAGCTCCTTTTTCCTCAGATGGAAGCATCCATGCAGTGTCTCGTCGGCAGGATAATCTACGGAACTATTAGAATTAGTCACTTTCCCATTCTCTTTGGCTCGTAGATGAATGCCGGCCTGTCCAGCGGAGCGAAATCCCCGCCAAAGCTGTCCAGGCGTTATGTGAAAATGGCCTCATGTCTGCAGCGGATATAGCACTGAACAAACCACGTGCTGTTGCCCTGTCCCCAGATGGCGCGATTTATGTCGCAGACACCGGGAACTCTAGAGTGCGTTCGATCCGAGCTTGAGTTAGATACTAATAGCCTGCGAGCCCTTTACATTATAGCAAAAACCGTCAATTGTTCTCTTGGCTCAGCCCTTTACATTCTGCAGGTTATTCGGGCACACGGTTCTAAAGTGGATACGGTGGCAATTCTTCCACCACTCTTACGAACCATGAAAGACTCGGAACTTATGTACAAGCTAGGCGAGATCACTTCTTTGGCATACGGGAAGCTAGCCCACGTAAGAAAGCAAGTCCTCAGCAGGTAGTGAGCGCAGCCCTGCGGATTCTGCGCACCTCGCGATTTGAGCACATCCTGAAGTTGCGTATCTTAATTCTTGAGTGTGCAGCCAACATTGTTTCTAGCCGACTCTACAAAGCACGTGTGAGTTTCGACCTCCCAGTATGCGCCAGTTGTGGCAGGCCTGCCACCCTCGCTTCGACTCCCCTTGCTCGAATCCCATTGCATGCACAGTTACTCTCTTCAAACCGCCAGCGGAAAGAACAGATTTCCATTTTTAGGAGTAGTCATCTCCACTCGTTAAGGCTTTTGCAGGATCTGGAGACTGGATTTGGAAACGAACCATCTACAG